CCCCAAAACCCCAAAACCCCAAAACCCCCAAAACCTCCACTCAAAAAATTATAATCTAACCTAAAATTCCAAAATGCTCCAGTCAACCCCAAAACCCAGTCAATTTTCTTCTAAAATTCCTAAACCAGAACTAGAAAGTCTACTCTTTCAGACTGGAACCTGTGTTAAGAAGTACGAACAGATTGTGGGAGAGTTAAAGGAGGGCATTCAAGAGGTTTTAGAAAACAAAGATAAGCAACAAGCCTGAGTCCTGATGAGGAAGATTAAGACTTGTTATCAAGAAATCTGTGAATTTGATGGAATCAGGCTGCATTTGGATTCTATGTTGCTCGATCTTGAGAGTGGCATGATGGGGCCTGATTTATACAATGCTATTAAAGCAGGACAAAAAAAGTTAGCACAAATTGTAAAATTTACCAAAATAGAAGAAATTTTATAAAAAATTGAAGATACAGACTCAAGAATTGAAGAAATTGAAAAATTATCTCAAGATTTTGTAGAAGAGGATATTTCTAATTGTGATGATATTTTTGCTGAGCTCCAAGAAGAACTAGAAATTGCTACCCCTTGCAACTGTTTTCATTTAAATCAACCTAGAGTAGACGAATCTTTAACTGACAGGTATCCAATTATTTTTACCCATTAACACAACTTCAAAATTAATCAAAAATCAAAATTAATTCTTCTAAGATATATCACTAAATCCTAAATTCTAATAACCAAGCAAAGACTCTAAAAATGCCCCTAAATTCAACTTTACTGCAAAGCCCCAATCTCAAAATTACACACAATTTTTTTTATTACTGATCAAGGTTTCCTATTCCTTGAACCCCCTGAAGCCAATAAGAGCTTTTCTTATAACTTAACCTCTCATCTCTCTCTATGCATGTAACATTTCTCTTTTATAACTCCAAAGAATAAGCAACAAAAAGAGGCAGAGATGGCTCAAGAAGAGGAAGATCTCCTAGCTGAACTCAACTAGAAGCTCTAGCTGAGTTTCTGATCCTGCAGTTAGTGTTTCGAAGTATTTTAAATATCTTTAATGTTTCAATAATTTGTGCGAAAATTGGGGTTTTGGGGTTTTGGGGTTTTGGGG